AACAAATACAGACAGGTACAATTGTAGGAGTGTGTATGGCCTGGCATGAACATAAAGTATATATTGTTACATAATATTTATTCCGAGTCAACAAATTCAATAAACAAATAAAATGGGCTTTGAGTAGAAACTTAACCATTATTTATACCTTTGAACAACCCTCTGCAATTTGTGCAAGGGCAATGAGAGCTGCATGATGCTTTTGCCAATCTGGTGCCCCAAAATAAGCTTGCAACTGCACCGAAGCCACTGGGACAATTGTGTTCCCTCCAAGGGCAATTGCTAGCCTATCCAAACACTCCTGCCCAACACTGTAATTACTTGTCTCCCCGGCATCTTCATCCTCAGCTTGTGCACTGTGCCAAGCAGGATCGTCCTCAACATCCACGAGCATCTTCATCAAAATGGAAAAGAGCCTATCAATAAACTGAGGCAACTTGCGCATCATTCCAGGTGCCCTCTCCCGAGCCTCGGCAAGAGTAATCACAAACTCAACTGCCAAATGCCTTGTGCCCTCTTCAAAATTCTCAGCCTCGGCTATCTGCAACATGTACCCCACCACGTCCACAATCTGCCTGCGTAGAAACCTGGGCTCAGTTCCGGCCAACTCTATCATCAACTCCAACGCCTCCTGGGCGGTTGCCTCCTGTCCGGAGTTCAATGCATCCATCAAAGTCCTCATCATTGCGGGCAACAAATCCTGGAATCTATCACGATCATTTGAACTCGTCAAGCACTGAACGAAATTAATGACCGCACTCAAGGCCGCAATTTTCACATCAGGATTCGAAGAATTGTTCAACACATTTAGAAACACGGTATGCAAATCCACTATGAATGGAATTAATGTATCCCCGATGTACTGGGCTAATTGGGAGAATATCAAAAATGCCGATTCCTGGAGCTTTGGGGAGTCGGAGGATACGCATTGGAACATAAAGGGCAAAATTTCCGGCCACTGACGTTCTGGGAGGAGCGAGGAAGCGAGTTCCGATATGGTGTCGCATAGCTTTTTGCTGATGGATTTGGAATCCTCTCGCTGGATAGAGGAGAGGAGGATATTTTTAACAGCAGAGCGTGTCGCATCACTGAGTTGGGGCCAGATGAACGAGTCGTCTCGAGTCAGCTGCTTCCTGAGAAGGACGGTGGACATGGCGCGCGCCTCGTGATGCGGTGATGACGATAGGAGGTGAGCGAGCTTGAGGGCTAGCGAGTTGGGATCGGTCTGCTTGAGCAGATTGAAGATTGATTCGGCCTGGGATCGCTGCTCGTTGGAGGAGGACATCAAATTGGAAATTAGGGTTTCGAATGGCGCCTGGTCCGGACCCATAATCGCCGCCAGCTGTGCTTGCTGAAGCTGAGTTGACTCTGCGTTCATACTGGGTCGGAGGCCAGCAAGTAACTATGGTTTATGATTTAAAGATTGCAGTTCTATGCTGTGCGCGCTTGTTCGTGGTGGCGCTCTCGTCTCTCTCTCTCTCTCCCCCTATCTTTTTATAATATTATGAGTCTTTCTCACACCTACAAACACGCAATGAAGGTGCGTTTATACCGATGCTTATATAGGGAACGCAAGAGGGCACGTACTAAAACCACAATTGGCGCCTCCTTGGTGTATTTTTATCAAGTCAATCGTTCCAATGGTAATTGAACTTAAGTTCATGTCTTTGATTGGTCACTAAAATTTAAAATGTCGAGTTTTGATCATTAAACTTAGTTCCAAATCATCGATTGCTCACTAAAATTTAAAATGTCGAGTTTTGATCATTGAACTTAGTTCCAAATCATCGATTGCTCACTGAAATTTAAAATGTCGAGTTTTGACCACTAAACTTTGAAAAATATTGTATATTACTCACTGAACTTTGAAAATTATTTTATATTACTCAATATAAATTCGATATTTTTCAAAATTTAACAGTTATGCTAGTGAGTAATGTACGGTATATTTTAAAATTTAGTGGTCAAAACTTGACATTTTAAACTTTAGTGAGCAATTGAAAATATGGACCATTCCAAAGTTCAGTGGTCAAAACTCGACATTTTAAACTTTAGTCAATTGAAAATATGGACCATTCCAAAGTTCAGTGGCCAAAACTCGAGATTTTAAACTTTAGTGAACAATTGAAAATATGGACCATTCCAAAGTTCAGTGGCCAAAACTCGATATTTTAAATTTTAGTGAGCAATCGAAAATATGGACCTAAGTTTAGTGATCAATTAAAGATATGAACCTAAGTTCATTGATCAAAACTCGACATTTTAAATTTCAGTGATCAATCAAAGACATGGACTTAAGTTCAGTGACCATTTGGACAATTAACTCATTTTTATCTCTTATTTTAGGATGATATTATGATAAAGAATGTACAAGAATTGAACAAAGGGTACAATCTTTCATAGTGGTTAACTGCAGGAAATAAATTTAAGAAGGATTGATTTATCGTGGAGCCATTTAGGGCAGAGTAGGAATATCAGTTTAACTCGTCAAATCAAGCAATCCATGGCTTAACTCATGACTTGAAGGAACCAGCCTCATTTTTGGGCATTGGCTCGAGCCCAAGTCGATCGTGAAGAACCACACAATCACAGGCCATTTTGACTCGTGTCAGTCAAACATAGGCAATTGTACACAACATAGTTGCCATTAAAACAAACAGCTATATCTGCAAACCAATCAACCGTAGCTGTCTAAAACCTAGCAGCTATAGCTAACTTTATATAAAAAATTATATTTTTCCAAAAAATAAAAAATAAATAAGTCAGCCTGATTCGACTCGAGCCATGTTCGGATCACGAGCTTTGGCTCGTGAGTCGACTTGACTCGACTCATTTACATCCCTAGAGCAAAGTAGGGTATTATGGGGATTAGTTTTTGATTGGTTGTAATTTTGATAATGTATTCTAGTTTTTTTTTTTTTTTTTCCATTTTTTACTTTAAAGGATAATGGAGGGAGGTGTTAATATGTTATAATTTTGGGTAATTATATTACCACTACGAATCTTGTTAGTTACACCACAATTTTTATCATTTTTTTTTTAACTTACTTAAAAGCCTTTAAGTAAAATTACATAAATGGGATTTTAATATATTTATCATATAAAATAATTTATTATTCTATCACAATCATATAAATGCGACGCTGTAATTTTCCATCCTTGCTTACCCCTTCTTTCTTCAACTCTCCCCATTTTCTCGGACCCTTTTTGCTTTGCTCTGCATAATCAAATTCTATTCCCTATACAAAAAACATAAGTCTAGTTCAGATTCAAGGAACTAACACGCGCGCGCGCGTAAACATATTGTATGTATTTCTTCTAGCATTACCAGATTCTTGAGCCATTGGCGGATCTAGGCCAGGGCTGAAACGGGCTACAGCCCATGTCAACCTTAGCCCAAATCCAGTAAAATCGGTTCAGGTCAGTTCGACACGAGTAGTTGATTAGATTTAGTTTCCTTTTAAAGAAAACTATGGTGAGTTAGTTCGATTATAGTTTAAAGTCTCGAACCGTTAGTTAATCGACCTAATCCAATCCACTTATGTGTTCACCTTTTTTTATTTAAAAAAATAAAAATCAAAAGATAAACTGTAATTTTATAACTATATGTCGATTTCCTCCAATCCATAATTTTGTCGGTAAGTAATAACAATGAAAATTTTATTTCACAAGCTTATTATGTCATACTTATCATTTTTTCCTTATTCAGCCAGTCAAATTACATAATACATAAAAAAGCAATAAAAATTTTAAGCTTTCTATTGATCTGTCTCTATAACTTGGTTTTATTTGTTAATCAATAGTTCTTATAATATAAAATTACTTCGTTATTTTAATTCTTGTAATTTAAGTGCGCCTAAAATTCGGACAATTTCTTTTAAAAAAAATTAATTTGAATTAAAAGTCCAAACCGTTGGTTTGGTTTGGTTCGATTTAAGAGTTAAAGGGGTTGGTTTGGATTGAAATTCGTCCAAAGAGACTAATTTAATTTTGGGAAATACAGTTTAATAGCCTAAATAGAAGGAGGATTTTCCAAATTAGTCTAAGAAATAAAAACATTTGAAAACTAGTCTCCAAACAATCAATTTTCCAAAAATACCCTTAATAGAGAAATTGCAACCAAAGCCACTACAATGTCTAAAAACCTTCAAATAGGTCCTCAAGAAAATATAGATCATAAATTTTTAATAAATTTAGATCCAAATATTATACAAAATTTTATTGACTTAAAAAATGCTACAAAAAATGAATTAACCTATTTGGAAGAAGATCTGAAAGACTTTTTTATAGAATATTTAGACCCAAAACTAAAAAATAAAAATAATTCCATAGATGATGAAGCAATTAAAATGGAAAAAGATATATATAAATTAATTCTTAATTTAAGAAGAAGAATTAAAGAATTAAATATAATTATTCAAGAAAAAATATTGGTAAAAAATAGTGAATTTTATAAATTCTATTGTGATATTTTAAATATTTATGAAGAATTTAATTGGCTCAAAAATATTAACCCCTCCGCTGCACACTCCGACAAAATGGTATCAGAGCCATGTTACGAACCAACAATCATGATGAATATAGTAGATGAAGAGAATATAATTGAAGAATTTTTGAAAAAAGTTGAAAAACATAAAAAACCTAGTTATCCTTATTTGCCTAAAAATACCACAAATGAAAATTTTGGAGATATACATAAAAAATTAGAAAACCTAGAACATAATCTACAAATAGGAAATGCTTTATTAGATAAAAATCTTAGAGGAAAAGATAGGATTATAATTAATCCACCCCAAGATTTTAGAATAACACAAAATAAAGGAAAAAAGCATGAAGAAAAACAATATAAGATTACAAATGTAGAAGAGATAGAACAAAAATTCTTAGAATCTACAGGAGAAGAGTATGAAGAATATAAAAAACAGTTAGAAGAATTAACTGAGAAAATGGAAAATATAAAGATGAATACTAATCCATCTTCAAGTCATGATATAAAAGTAGAATTCAGTAGTGATGAAGAACAAGATTATCCTTATGGGACTACAATACCACTTAAAGATGGTCTTAATCAATATAGAAAAACACAGAAAAGATACACTGGAAATGTAAGAAAACAATCCATAAAAGAGATAAATCCAATGAAATCTTATAATGAACCAATCCACACAACAAGAGTATGGTTAGATTTAGACTGTGTAGATAAAGATAAAGCCATTGAAACATGGATAAAAAGTACAGATTTAGTTATACAATTTAACAAATGGGAAACATATACAGCTTTTGAATTTATAGAACATACATTCAGAGGAATTGTGTCTGAATGGTGGAGAAAATTACCAGAAACTATCAAAGGAAGTATAAAATACGGAACAAATAGAACTGAGGTATTAGATAATAGGAATACTCTAAATGAGCAAAATATACAGGGAATATTAAAAAGATTTGAAAAAATATTAAGAACAGAATTCTTAGGAGATAGGCATGCTTCTAATAAAGAAGAAAGAAAACAAGATGAATATAATCAAGGAATGATTTTAATGGAAAATTTAAAGATATGTGATATGTGTGAATTAGAAAGATATACATGTAAATTTGAAGAATTATACTATATACTTAATCAAGGAGACTATCAGGAAAATAAACCTATTTTAAGGTCTTATTTTACCAAGTTACCATTCCCATGGGGAATTAAGTTACTAAAAGAATATGAGAAATTACTACCTCTAGGAAAAGAGGAAGGAGTTGAAATAGATAGTCTTGGAAGTAGAATTGAATTTACAAGAAGAATGATAGGAATGTGGTGCAAAGAAGCATTAGAAAATAAGAAAGCTTATAAAATAAGAAAAAATTCATTATGTTGTTATAAAGATAATGGCCAAGTTGAACAATTTGGATGCCATAAGAAGAAATATAAACCATATAAGAAATATAAAAGGAAGTTCAAAAACTATAAAAAATTCAATAAAAAGAATTATAAACCACATAAAAAATATTTCAAGAAAAGAAATTGGAAAAAAAATTTAAACCAAGAAACATTAAAAAATGTAGATATTTTATTTGTAATGAAGAAGGACATATTGCCCCTCAATGTCCTAAAAAGAAAGATAAACAAAATATAAAAACTCTTAGAATTTACGAAAAATTCCAAGAAGATAGTGATATTGAACCAATTGAATATTTTGGAGATCTAAGCAGTGAATGTAGTAGTATTTATGAATTAGATACATCTTCATCAGAAGAAGATTATGAGGAAATAGTATATATGAATCAAGAGATACAACAATCAGAAATAGAAATAGAAACAACTGAAGAAGTTGAAGATTCTATAGAAGGTATTAATCAGGAAATAACTTTTGATATTAAAAAATATGCAGGAATCACTAAAAAGATATTAGATCTACAAGAAAAAGATGTATTTCATCAAGGATTCTTAAGAATTTTACCAAGGGTAAATAAAACAATTGTAAGTATGAATTATAAAGAAATCTCTATCAATATAGAAGATACTATAGGAAAGGCAAGAATTCCTATAA